AGACAGAAGCACAATCACGAGCCCCATCCATGGTGGTAAGAGCAGCTGGCAGAGTTTGTGGGCAGGGGAACTATTCAGCCCAGTATGACGACAGCGAAGGGCCCTACCGGTATGAATGAGCTTCACGTGACGCTGCAGGTAGCGGTCAATCATGAACACCTTGTTGCATCCTGGGTGGGGACAGGGCCTTTCCCGGACCTCTTCGTGATGTTCTTTGATGTGCTTCTAGACCCAACGAGAGAGGGGGCTTTGCACGGGTGGGTTATCCTCAGGCACGATTTCACTATCACGTTCACCCAAAAGCGCCATTGGCTCTTATCCTCTCCACCCCCCTTTTTTTCCCAAGGCAGTTCGCCTTGGCATTTTGAATCTGCAGGAGCAATCGTGCATTTAGAACCCACGAGTTCCACGCTTTCAGTCAAACCTGCAGCAAACCTGGGCTCTGCAGAATGCGTCGCTTTAACTATAACGTAGACGTTTTTCTCTTTAGAATCTGAAAAGGTTTCCCAGCCAAAATGAAGCTAACTAAAAGACTGGAACCAGTAACTGGATGCTTTGTGTTAGATATATCTTTTCTTGCACTGGCTCATGCCACTGAAAGTTACTGGAAGGAATTCCACATCCCTAAAATGCCAACCCTCGTGGAAGGCCCTGGCTTGGAAATAAACCCCCGAAGGGTGGCTCTCTCAACGCACAGCCCTAGCAGGGCGACGTGTGCTTACCTTCATGCCATCCGCCCCTCTGTATACAGCTGTGCAGCCCTGATAAGGACACTTGTAAATGTTTGGCAGCTCCTCCCTGGAGAAGAAAGGAGCAGCTGGGTCAGAACAGAGGCAGCCTCCCCTCCAGCTCTTTCACCATGGAAGTTTCTGATACCTTTCACACTTGATCTTCTTTTTCCAGCCAGGTTTGGGTCCCGGCTTCTTCCTTATTTTCGGTTCTTCCACGTTTGCTTCTTTGCTTTCTGCTTTCCTGTTGTTGGACGCCCTGAGAGGAAGGGAACACAGCATGAAAAGTGGCTAGTGTCCTCTCCCAATGGAGGTTATCAGTGCTACCAAAGAGAAGAGCTATGCTTCTGAATTTGGAAATGGGGAGAAAGAAAACGTTGGTGAATCTTTACCCAGAGAAGAGCTGAGACCCACCTCTTTTCTGGATAAGGCTCAAAAGAATCATCTGAAGACTGTGCTCTCCTGTTGTTTTCATCATCACTTGAAGACTCTCTGAGAAAGGAAAGAGACTTTTAACTATTTCATTGGGCACTAATACAATACACTTCAGTGAGCCTTTTTTAGTGAACAGGCAAAGCAAAAGTTTAATAAATAAAATAGAAATACCATCAGCAGAAGGAACAATTTGGCAGCCAAGTTACTTTTCCTTGGTCAGCAGGTCTGAGTTCAGGAATCAATGAATCTCATTTTGCTGAAAGAAAGTGGCTTAGAGCAGGCTGACGAAGCGTTGTGCAAAGGCTACAGTGCTACCAAAAAGCAAGGAAGAAAATTGGCTGTGTGTCTGAAAGGGACTGCAAGAACTTGGCCAGACAAATAACTGGATCCTAGCATTCAGGGCTTTCATGAAAATCAGGGTTCAAGCTTTCATCAGTGGCAGTATCCCTTCTAAAAGCTTTAAAAAAATGCCTGCAGATGTTCTTGAGAGAGAATTCTTGGAAGGATTCCAGGGGAGAGGGCATAGATTTCTACAACTTTCTCTTGCTGTACATCCCACTCACTTCCTATGAATCAGTTGTATCTCAAGACACCACTTTAATATTTAGACCCACCAATAATGGTTGCCCAGTTTTGCCCCAATATATAATCCTATTCAATCAAATCCCCCCAGTGTCCGTGTATTCTTAAATAGTTAGAAAAATTTTAAAATTGTACATGTGGGCTTCCCAGCCTGGAAAATGACAACAAGCCAGCCACCTTTTTTATCTGTCCCAGACTTAGCAGCTGTTTTCACCGTCACCAGCCGGCTGATCCTTTCTAGCTAGAGAGGTGAGGGTTGAACCCAGAACCCTTCCGTGCAACCTAGATCCTCAGCCCTCGCTCTACACCCCAAAGGTCTGTTTGCGGATGAGGCTTTTCTGGAAGCAACAGAAGGAGCAGGAAAGGCCATTTTGTGGCTATGGTAACACAGCAATCCCTGGCTTGGCTTGGCTTGGTTACAGCATTCACCAAATTATTACCTTCAGCCTCCATAACAACAGTCACTGCCCTAACTGCTCTGGGATCACCAGCGCTCCAGTACTGGAAGTAGCTGTCCAGAAGATGACAGCTGAACAAAGGGTGACTTTAAAGGCAAACAGGTGGCTGCAGGGTCTCCTGAAAAGGACCCTGGAAATCGTGGTAGCTGCGTCCCCATCAAACCAAGGAAGATCCATGAGCGCCATAAGAATTCCAGGCTCTGCAACTCCAATAAATATTATTTTTGGGCCTAGGATCTTCAGATTCAACAGTTTCCAGCAACCAGCCAGCATGGCCAACAGAAAGGGATGTGAGAATTTGGTGCTTAACAGAGTTGAGGGTGCAGCCCCCAAACAGTTTTTTAAAGCTTCAGGTTGGGCTTGGAAACTCCCACAAAGGGAGGTGTTCTTCTCACTCATATAAAGCAACAGGGAGAGGCTTGGTTTAGCATGGAACTGGTTCAAAGAATGCTAGGGTCAAACTGTTCAAAGAAGGCACTGCAAGCTTAGAATAAAAGCTATCATTTAGCCACCTTCCCTCCGCATAAACAGTCTCCAGCAACCAAATCCTTTCGGTGGGGCGTGATAAACTTCTCCCTGCAACACCATTATTTTCATGCTTGCAAAGATGACATTTCAAACCCACTCTTCTCTCACCCCTCAGAAAGGTCACTGAACGCGTCTTTTACCCGCTCATCTGATGCTGTGGAGAGCGCCAGCTTCTCACTCGGTCGTCCTAGGAAACCGAAAATGGCATGGGTTACAAAGGGTAGAGCAGACAGCCCTGCGCAGCAGAGGCCTTTCCACGCAGAGGTCCTCGCCCATCAAAGATGGAAAGGGATGAGTTTTCTGTGGCCAGCCCCTGCTTCCTCCTGAGAAGGAGAGGGTGTCTGGGCTAAAAGGGGTGAAAAGCCAATTAACAGGGCAAAATCTAAAAATAACACAAAACAAGACCATGTGAGGGAAGTGCTCCATAAAGCACGAATGGGAGCATTTATCTCCAAGCATTTATACAATTATCACCTCCTCTCCACAGGACCCAAAAGAATAAAGCGGCCCTGGAGGAGCACAGAAAGGCCGGGAACCCTAGAGATGCTATGCTCAACCCCTGTTCGGTGCCAGCATCCCCGGTGGGTGGCTCTCTAGCTTCAGCTCCCTCGGGGGTAGCGGCTTCCATGAGACTGACTGGCCACCGCCAGGAGCTACGCTCTTACCTGGGCTACCGGTCCGGGGACAGATTGCTTGGGGCAGGTCCTCCTGCAAAGGGTCTTGCAAGGAAGGCAACCCTTGGCTCTCGGGGACAAGGTTTTCTGCACTGGATGCCGGCAAAGCAGTCCCGCTGTCTGCAGGCTGCTGGCCAGCAGCTGCTCTAGCAGTGCCGTGCTGGGGCTGCAGTGGCGGAATGGCAGCCCCTGGGCTATCAGAGGCCACCCCGTTGCCTGTCACGTGCTGAGAGACGCTCTTCTTCAGTTCCCACTGGACAGCCAGGGCACTGTCTACCAGCAAGGTGCTGCAGTCTGAATCTGTGTGCATGATGTAACTGTGGCCCTCTTCGCAGCTCCACACTGCTCTGATGATCCCGCAGTACTCGGACGACAAGACACTCTGCAGGCTCGGCGCCATCGGGCAGTTCTCCGCATGGCCGTGGCTCCACATCACCAACTGGTGAAGGCACTGTGGGCTGGAGGTGATCAGATCTGCTGTTCACAGGGAGGAAACGGGGCCTGCGTCAAGGAACCTGTCCACCCCATCCCCATTACAGCTGCAAGAACTCCTGGGGGCGGTCCAGCCTCCCCACTAAAATTCAGGATAGCCTGCCGTGTTGAGCGGGCCTACTGCAACCCAGAGGGCTGGCCAACACCTTCCTTCCCACACACCCACTGCCAACGATGCGCAGTCCCTGCTAGAAGGGCATTGGATCACTTCCAGAGCGTATACACTGAATTTCCATTCAAAAAATGCAACTGAAAATGGAGCCTGTGTGCGTTTTGCCAGGACAACCCAGCTGAGGCATTGTCTTTATTTCACATCTGCATACCTCACAGGGGTGGGGCGAGGCTCAGACTATGAACGCACATGTGGAAGTTTGCAGACTGGTGGCTTCAGTCCTGTGAGAATCACACTTGGGGCAGGCGGGGGGCTTCCCCTTAACACTTACATGACATCCATGCCCTATCATTCATGCCACTCACGCCATTCCACTTTTTCAAAGGAAGGGAAGTTTCCTATGCGGACTTAGCCATATCTGACGTGAAGTGCACCAGGTAAGAATTTACTATAATGAGTCCAGTTTCTAACTCTTCCCACCAGTCCTTTCAAAGCCCAGTGAATGCTCCCCTACGTAGAACTTATTTGAATATCAGTCCAAAATACATCATTTGGGAAATCTGCACGATGTGTTCAACCAACAGTGCATGGCACCTACGAAAAGGGCGGTGCATTTGCTTTAAGCTACCACGCTGAGTAAAATCCCTATGGGAGGATCAGCTCAGCTAGCACTTGAATTGCGCGGGAAAAGCATTCTGCTCCGTGCTTCAGATCAGACATTGACATCCTAGTTGTGCAAAGGATGGCAATGCAGACTCACTGGAATTCAAAGCTATCCTGTTGGCATCCATCTGGAGCGCAAGGCCTGGGCTGACCACCCTTGGCTGGCAGGGATCAGCCACAAGGCCAGGCTAAGGAGCAGCAGGCAAGCTCCATCGACAGGAACGGCACACCTCAGCACCTTACATACCCAGACAAGGCGCCTCTCCTTCTCCAGCCGAAGCAGCGGGTGGTGGAGACTGGACAAGGTTGTTCCTGTATGCAGAAGAGAAGACGGACAGATGAGAGCAGGAAGCTCTCCCGTGCAAAAGCGCTGGGGTTGTTTTTGCTGGCTTGGAAATCACTAGGGCAGGTGAGAAAAGAAGATGCCCACCCCGAGAGAAGAAACCTTTGCACTGGCGGCGGGCAGACGATGGGCCACCCAGAGACCAGGAGGTTGGGGAGGCTGCTCAACCTACTTTCCTCGTGGCTTGGGGTGTCCCGCGGGTGAGACGTTCACCTTCTGGATGAAAGCCTTCAGGATGCTGCGGCACTTGTAGAACTGAGCGTGGCACTTCTTGCAAACGAACTGGGGAAGGGACGGGTCTTGCTGGACGGCCACCCCCACCAGCCGCTGGAAGTCTGTGAAGAAGACCTGGTCCAAGTGCCGCTGCTTCTCGGAGCTCTCGCTCGCGGTGGGGACTTTCCCAAAGGCATTTCGCAGGCTCCGCGCGGAGAACTTCCCATGGCAAAGCCGGCAGTAGCCTGTGCCCAGGCCCCGGTTAATTCCTGCAGGGATTGCAAGAAAGGAGGCTGGTCTGGATGCTCAGCTCAGGAGAGGCCTCCTGGGCTGAAAGGCAACGGCCCTCTCAGCCTTCCCGGCATCGGACTCTGGTCCTTTTAAACCCAGGTCTGGATTTAAGCTGAATCTCCCCACCCTTCCCTTACAGAAAAGGGCACTTTTCTCTGGAAGCAAAATGATTTAGACCATACGTGGGGAGCAAACGTTTAATGTGCGAAGAGTGCAATATTTAGAGGTTTTCCCCCCGAAGCGGATCTGTATGCTAGAAGCAGAGCGTATTTTAAGCCCAGGACCCAGGAAGTGCTGTTTCAAAGCTGCCCACTTTGACACCAGAAGCACGCGGAGAAACCTGAGTTTGCCTCGATACAAGATAGCGTTTGCTGCCTCTGTAGCCAAATCTCTCCTGCTACATTTCATTTCCAGGGTTCTCTTGGAGGGCGAACGTCAGGGCCCTTTCCGATCAGCAGGCAAGCCAGTCTGCAGGCACAGGGCCGCGCTGACCGGTTGTCCCTGCGCCCACGTCATTTGCTCACCTCTTACGCCCCACCTCGTTCTCGAAACTGAAAACAGGGTTTGGCATCGACTCTCTTTCTCTTCAGGCGGAGGTTAGCCCTGCCTTTTGCTGTTCAGCGTCTCCTTTGCTAGAGGAACCCAATTCTTGCTGATGGCTCTCGGCTTCAGTCCTCACAGCCACGCCAGCCTGTCGAGGGCCGAGGCTGCCCCGCTCATGGGCCGTGCTGCTAAAGCCAGGGTGCATCATTTGCAGGGCCCTTCCAGTCCCCTAAGAGGTTCACTCTGAGGAATCCGTGCATGCGACAGGCTGGCAGCACCAGGCCCAGCGGGCGTGAGGGACTCTCAACATTTTAAGAACCAGATCAGGTCGCCTCTAAGGCCCCAGCAGATTTCTTACCAGGCTCGTGGCATTTTTCCAGTCCTGCCCAGCCCACGGAACCCCCCCTCAGTCCTTGAAAGCTGGATCCAACCAGACCCCATTGGCTCTTCTGCGCTGTTCCCGCCTAACCCCGGCCCCCCATGCAGGAAGGGACCATTGTGCTCATGGCCTGTTCCTGCCTCTCTTCACCGCTCTGAAACCAAATCCCCGTTGTGGGAGGCTGCCCAGGTCACTGTCCCATCTGTGCCTATCCTGGGGGTTTCCAGCTTTGCTCAGCATTTTGAAAAGTGCCATCAGGGCACCAATGTGTGTATGAGGGAGTTTGTGTGTGTGTGTGCGTGCACGAACAAGATAGTTTGTGATGGTTCTGCCTTGTGCCAAGCCAAAATGTTCCTTTCAGGCTGCCTTTGGCACAGTTGCCTGACAGGGGTCAAGGAAGAGGTCCAACCACACTGATGGGTTCAGGTAGCATGGCACCGGGCCCACGCTGAAGCCTCGCACCCAAGGCTGCTAGGAAAGTCCCTGGCAACACCCGGCGTCTCCGCCAATTTTGCGAGTGGGGGGAAGAAAGGGGCTGCATCCCGGCCCTGGGTTCAACCAGCCCCCGGACGTCTTCCAGGTGTCTCCAGGGCGCTCTCACGGCCACTACCGAGCTCAGTGGAGGAAGCGGGCCCTGCCGGGCCCCTCCAAAAGCGACCTGGCGATTC